CACAACTAGTTAAGGATATAGTCAATGTAGTTATTGAGCAGTGTCATTTTAAGGTTTGTTAAAAGGTCTGTGAATTGGATTACTCAATCTCCTTAATTAGATTACTAAAATACACAGGGGCAGAAGAAGGCGTCTGGATCCATTCCACAGCTGATTTGCAATCACTTTCCAGAATCAATCTCCCTTCAGTAGACCAAACCGAGAAAAAGAAAATTTCAGTTGCTTTCCTAATTGCCTTCAATTCTGCCAATGAAGGTGGGCCAGATCCAACATATTCTGAAAACGACACTAGAGTGGAACCATTTGAATCTTTAAGAACACCCCCAATGCCACTAGCCATCCCATCTTTTCTAACAGCACCATCTACATTGAACTTGTAGAAATCCGCAGGAGGAGGAAGCCATTTCTGTACAACCCTACTCTGAACCTTTGTGCAGTTAAGACCGTCTGCTAGAGAGGGATCAGCCATTAACGAGACAACCAAGATCGAAACTTGATGAAACTTGGCTAGAAACCACTTAGCTAATCTAAATCTTACAATGAAGAAGAAAGAAGACCTATCCAGAACCTGGTTCTCGAAAACAATAGAATTCCTATGTTTCCAAATAGACCAAAGAACCACTCCTGGGATAAATTTCCAAATCGTGGAATTTGCCATCAAATCAGGCCAAGAACTAATAAGGGATGGAAGATCACTAGGCAAAGCTGTACAGATGTCCCAAAACCTGAAAAACTTATTCCAAATCTCATAAGCCACTGAATAGAAAATAAACAGATGCTGGGCAAACTCTTCATACTGTTTACAAAGCAGACAAAGATCACCATCAGATAAGGGAACCCCCCTTTTCTTCAATCTGATTTTACTGCCAGTTTTTGGTGAGTTACTTGCCAAAGAAAAGTTTCAACTCTAGGAGGAACCAACCCCAACCATACACAATTTTTCCAAATAAGGTTCTCCACATGATCCTTAACTAGAGTCTTTCTACAGGATTTCACTAAAAACAACCTATCCCCCTTCCCAGGCCAAGATAGAAAATCATCCACTGCCTCGGACAACTATATGTTGTTCAATTTAATCATTAATTCCAACCATTGTTCCAATTCCCAATCACACAAATTTCTTCTAGTTCGAATATTCCAAGACCAACCATTAGAATCATAACTTCCAAAATCAACCACCTTACCCGATTTATTTGAAGACAATGCAAAAATTCTAGGAAATTGAATTTTCAAAGGGGTATGATCTACCCAAACATCATTTCAAAAGGATATTGACTTACCATTCCCCACTTGGAGCCTTGAATGAGATCTCAAACTTTCTCCGGCCGAATCATTCTTTAAGAAGCTGCTGACAATTCTTTCCAAGTGTCTTGGGGAGAATACACCCTACTAACTGACATAGACAGGCTGTCTACATTGTGTTTGTTGCAAATCAAATTTTTCCACAAGGAGTCTTTCTCATTTGCAAACTTCCATATCCATTTCCCCAACAAAGCACGATTAGTTAGATTCAAATCCAAAACCCCCAATCCTCCATATTCAATCGGACGACAAATCGTTTGCCAATTCACCCAATTTATTCGATTTTTCTCTAACCCATTACCCCACAAGAATCTAGCCATCAACGAATTCAGCTTTTGACTAACTTTGCTTGGCAGTTTAAAAACAGATAGGAAAAAATCGGAAGAGGAGACAATACTGACTTCAGTAGCACCAATTTGCCAGCCAAGGATAGTGTATTAGCTTTCCAACCTGTCAATTTTTTGTTGAACCTTTGGATAACCGAATCCCATAGAATATCTGAGTTCTTCTTTGCTCCAAGTGGTAACCCTAAATATTTCGTAGGGAAAGAACCAACAGAGCACCCAATGGATGTGGCCCAATCTTTCAGAACGTCTTCTTCCATACTAATCCCATACAAATCACTTTTCGATAGATTCAAATTAAGCCCAATCATCAAGCTGAAAATTCTCAAGACTCTTTTTACATTTCTAATCTGTCCGAGGGAAGTACGACAGAAGATGATTAAATCGTCTGCAAACTGAAGATGAGATAACTGACAAGGATTTTCTTACCCACCAATAGAGAAACCATAGAAAAGGCCCAAATCCACAACTTTAGCCAACATCAAATGATGTAACTCACCAACTAAATTGAACAGCAATAGACTACATCCTTGTCTTAACCCTTTGGACATCTAGATCTCCTTTGTGGGGGTACCATTCAGAAGGACAGAAATAGACGCCGAAGATAAACAATACAAGATCCACGAACACCATCTCTCGCCAAATCCTATCTCCCTCATTATTCTTAAAAGGATTGGCCATTCAACTGTGTCATAGGCTCTGTGAAAGTTGACTTTGAAAGCAACCCCCTTTAGCCCTTTTTTCTTCCAATAATCAATACCTTCATTAGCAATAAAGACACAATCCAACAACTGTCTACCCGGGATGAAAGCAAACTGAGAAGAACTTACAATATCATCAATGCAAGAAATGAGTCTCTTGGACAATACTTTAGAGAGAATTTTGTAAAGACTTCCAACAAGACTGATTGGTCTATAATCTTCCAAACACTCTGGGTTTAACTTCTTCGGAATTAAGGTAATGAAGGCATGATTGACTCCGTGATCCGAGGTGTTGTTTGTAATAGTCGGCTGTCGTATATAATGTACTCTTTTCTGGAATGACATTTGAGGCACTTTTTTCCTCCTTCCAATGTTCGCTGATGTATTTTTGTACAACAGTGGTTATGAAGGGGTTTTTTAACAAGGTCTCGCTATTTATCAAAAAAAATAGTATTAAGAGTTAACTGCATGTTTGATAATTTATATTTATATTTTGTCTGTTTTTTTCACTGGTTTGAAAAAAACATAATATATGGTTACTTTCGTTTTTAATTAAGATGTAGTCACCACGAGTTAACTGCCGTTAACAATTAATAGTTTAGGTGACGTGGCAGTTAAATAATTTGGTACAATTATGCAGTTGGTCCTTGTTATTTACATATTTAACTCTCATGTCACCTAATTTGTTAACTGTTAATTGTAGTTAACCCGTGGTGACCACATCTTAATTAAATAAAACGAAGGTGATCATATATTATGTTTTTTAAATCAATGAGAAAAAATAGATAAAATACCAACATAAATGATCAATCATGTAGTTAACTCTAATATTAAAGAGTACAAATCTTATAGAATTTAAAACCAAAACCGTTAAAACTCGTCGAAGTTTTAACCCATTAATTACCAGCCCAGATGATATATGGGGTTCTCCAATTTCAATTTCTTTGCTGCTGATTGATCAGAGAGCCCATTATTTTATTAAATCCATTATATGATTTGTGAGCCCAAAAAAATTTCAAATTAAAACAAAAGTAAATTATACTGTTCCTCGCTGAACTTTACTCTCTCCTATTTTATTCATTGAATTTTATTCTCTCTGAATTTACTCATTGAACTTTCAATTTTTTTAATTTGCTCACTTGTTTTCTCTCTAACATTGTGATGACATATCATCTTTTTATTACTTTTTGAATTTCCATGTGGATTTTTATTATTTTTTATTTATATAATTTGTAATGTATTCTCATTAAATTTTTTATTCCACCAGCCACCCTTTGTCGCCCGTTTTCTCCAGCCATTCCGTCGCCTTTTGATCCAAAATAAACCTTTTTTGTTTAAACCATAAACAATGTAAAAGAAGAATCTCTCGACCTACAACCATCATCACTGTAAAATTACCACCCACCATTTCACTTTCTCTCTCTCAACCACCTCCAATGCACTACCACCAAACCCATAACACACCCAAAAATCATTTCAATCCCTCATTGTAAATCAAACACTAACCCAAATATTGAACCAAACACACAATATCATAGCTATTAACAATAGTAAAAAGAAAAAGAAAAAAAATGAAGAACAAAAGAAAGAGAGATAGACGAAAGTGAACACCGCCATATCTTGATTTTGCGTTGATTTAGTGGTAAAGGAAGACGTTTGAAAATAAAGAAAGCCGAAGAATTTGCTTAAATCCATTGACTTTGAGTTATCTTTTGGTGAAAAATGATGTTGGATTCATGTTCAGGAGGTGAAAAGTAGTCTATATGAAAAATTTAAGATTTAACGGTCACCATCAATGACGGTAGTCGAAATGAAATGATGTGGTGACCAGCGACAATAGTCATTCGGATTATTTGTAAATTAGAGAGAATAGGGAGGAAAAGGGAAAAGCAAAAGAAATAAAGAAGAAAAAAGAATTTTATAGAGGATTTGAAACAACGTCGTTTTGGTGTTGATTTGAGTTTTTCAAAACGATGTCGTTTTGATTCTTATGTTGTGTCGTAATACTGTTAAATAGTTAACGGCGGAGTGATCAAGTAAAAATAATTAAATAATTTAGTAAAAAATTAAAAATACAGAGTAAAATTACAAAGAAAGTAAAGTTCAGTGACCCTTAAAACAAATGAACGTAAAGAATCATTATTTCACCATTTTTCTTCTTTGGGGAATTACAATTCCTTCGTTTATTCGGGAGATTTATTAGTAAATGTCCATTATTCTCTGCTGGTTGTTGCCGCCTACTTCCACCGGTTGCTAGCTGATTGCTTTCAGCAGTTCACGTTTGCTGGTTGCTTTCAGCAGTTCACGTTTGCTGGTTGCTTTCGGCTGCTGTTTGCCTTGAGGTATTACATGTAAAAAATCCATGGATACTCTTTTGACTCTGTCTTTGCTTGAAATGGGTCACTCTTACCATGGATTTAGTTGGGTACGATTGGAGAAGCAAATATACTTCAAAATTTAGAAGCTTTTATACATGCCGATTGCTTTTCGATAAAATGAGAGAACAACAATTAGAATCTAGAAATAATTTAGTCTAGCCACTTCGTTTTTGCAGTAAAGAAGAATGCTAATCATGTTTGATCACGTGCGATTTGAGTGATTAACCTTTGGGTAAAGAAGACAAACTGTTGTTATAATGATTTCTCTCTTTCTATCTCAGGTTTCCTTGGTTGCTTTCAAGAAATTGCTGCTTTGCTTTCCTAGGTAAACCATTCTCCAATGTTGCTTTTATTTTAAGCAATTGGCAGTTTAAGGATTGGGTTGAATTTCGTTAGTTTTCCTCTCTATTTATATTTTTCTTCTGCATCTAACCAAGCTGCAGTTTGTCTTTTTTGGCTGAGTAATTTCCATTTCATATGAACCAAACAGAGGATGATTACTAGGCGTTGCTTTTGTAGCTTTGCCCCACGGCCTTGGTTGTTTGTGGGTTTAGGCAACCCGGGCGATAAATATAAAGGAACTAGACACAATGTACACATTTACTTAACCAGGTATCTCATGATTCTCTTTTAGCACTTTTAATTACATTTAACTTCTTGGTTCACTTGAAACAGGTGGGTTTTGAAATGATCGATGCATTTGCTGAAGCTCAAGGGATAGAAATGAATACCCTTAACTGCAAGGCTATCTTTGGGCAAGGCCTGTCATCTTCTTCATTTTTCAAAGAAAATAAAATAGTTTTAATTTTTTATGTAGTTTAATGAATGTGAAATCTCATTTCTCTCTGGTGACATTATTTCAGGTTTTGTGGATGATGCACCTCTTCTTCTTGCTAAGCCTCAAACATACATGAACTTGAGTGGTGAATCTGTGAGTGATCTTGAAATTTTATTTCTTATTTTGCATGTTTAAAGCTTTTTAATTCATGCAATTATCCATCTCTTGATATCACAATACAGAACCGTTTAACCTTGAATGAACTTATTGGTACTGTTTATTTGATTCTACTTGTTGCATAATTGATATATATGTAGAAACAACAGAAAAATGCATTCATCCTATGGCAATAGTTTATAACTTATAAAACATGGTCGGAATTGGGGATAACCCACTGAACAATGTTCTTACCTTTACTTTGATTGATGGCTTCAATTGCTTACATTGTTTGATGGTAACAATCTTGATTTAGTATAGAGAGGAGGGCTTGCTGGTTGACTGGTTGTTGTTTGATTCATTTGGCATATTTAGCTTTCAACTTTGCATTAAAAAAAAATCATTTGGATATTTGCTGTCTTTCATCAATATCTCCTTTTTCTTCTTCCTCTTCCTCTTAAGGGCGGCTATCTTATTGAGGTGTGGTCCTCACGTCTGGTGCAACACTATGCCACTGGATCTGTGCCTCTTCTTTAATCATTGAGCTTGTTGAAACTAAAAATGATTCAACTAGTAAAATATCATTTGGAGGCATGGGAGGTATTCCATTATGTTGTTGAATGAGCGAGAGTCCCTACCATAGTCACATGGATCGCAGTACGCTCGGTACGGGAACGTGGAATGGGATCGCAATTCACTAGGTCCCTAAAATTCGATACGAGGGGGGTAGACTTCTTTCGGATCACTCCGGTACGATGTACCATATAAATTGGTACGATGTACCAGTTTCTTAGATAGAGATCAATTATGCATGGCTCATTTAGGAACAAAATAATTCAAAACTCAAAATCTAATATGCATAAATCCGATTTAAGGACTAAAATAAATTGAATCAAAAACGAGCATGGCTCCTTTAGGAATAAACCCACGCGAACAAAAATGGACCACCCTAGACCCCAATTAAACGACAGTTTTTAACCAAACTATCTAAAGCCTTTAAAATTTAACCTAAAAATAAATCATAATTTATGCTAAACCTAATCCCTTCCCCCTGTGCCGTTTTGAACCTCTTCTCTTCTTCATCCTCTACTCCTCACAACCGCATGGTCGAAAGTCTTCACAGCCCCAGACCCGAGCAACTTCGAACCCTCTTCTCTTCCATCACCTGAGAAGGAAACCCAAAAGGCTTCGATCATCGATCATCAGCCCCGACGAGGAGCTGTTTTGAAACGGTTTCCCCTCTCCCTCTTATTCCTCTGATTTTTTCTCTCAAACCCCCAATCCCTTTATTTTTCTGATTGCATCTCCTCTTATCCCTACTGCAAAACTATGATGTACCGAATCGCGATTTTGAAACGATCCGAACACGTTCGTACCGCATTTTGGATCGCAACGTTCAGTACGTAGATCGTGGCCAAATGAGCGATTTATGTAACTATGGTCCCTACAATGCTATATGTGGGCCATAAAATTACTGATGTTAATCATTAACAATACTCTAGAAGTTAAGATGGAAAAGGCTAACAAGAAACATTCAACTCTTTCTATAAGTGATGCAACACTTATGGTTTAAGCATTTAATGGATGTAATTTAAGGGCTTAATTGTTTATATATATATATCCCGGTGCAGCAATGTTAGAAGAACTGAAATGTCTTCTTTTTCTTTTAAATCTGTGTGGTGAGGATGTCTGTTTTGTATCACTTTTTTGAGGATAAGTGTCATTATTTTGTGCTTAAAAACTTTAAATTGAAATACATGTCTGAAGTTCCATCAATGGACATCACACTTGCTATAACATTTTTTTTTATTTAATTGTAGACTGGAGCCCTTGCAGCTTATTATAAGCTACCGCTCAATCGAGTGATTGTGGTAATTTTTCCATTGCCTGACATATCTCTCCAAGATTTTGATTGTTCTTTTCGGCTTTGTTTATCATGAAAAGAAATTAGTGATAACATCTTATAGTTGCTCTTGTATAATGTTTTCTGTTGTAGTTTCATGATGACACGGACTTACCATGTGGAGTGCTTCGTCTTAAAGACAAAGGAGGTCATGGAAGCCATAATGGGTATGGATGGAGAATATTATGTACTTTGCCTGAAGAGAACTTTTATATGAAGTTGCATTGAATTTCTTGAGTTTTCTTCTTATCACTTTACAAAATGCTTTGCTACTGCATGAACGAAGTTTCAGCCTCTACTAATTTTGTAAAACGTTTGCTTCCCAACACAAATGGTTAAAAGAAAGGAACAAAAGTGGGGAAAGAAGTTGGCTTGCATTATATAGCATTAGATGGAATGTGAAGTTAAGAAAATAATAATAAAGATCCTTGAAGGTTGTTTGTTAAAGTAGTTCTCCTTTTTGAGGTAATTAGTTTTGAGTGTGGTGCAAAACTACCGTCTTTTCCATCAGTGTTATCTATGTGTAAGTGTGGTGCAAAAAGAATATTTACTTTTTGAGTGAAATAATCTCATCGTTTGGAATGTGATTCGAACATATGTTCCTGTCTTGGGTATTTATCTCCACTGCTGTTGCCCTTTGCGTGCATTTTTTTTTATTTTGCTACTTGCTAAAATCTCCATAAGCATGACTCTTGAGGATTTGTTTCTAACATTCAATGCAATGATCATTTTTCGAGTTCGCTGGTGAATCTAAACATTCTAGGTTTTTAATAAGTTTATTCACTGCGAGGTATCCATGCTTTTTTTGCATCAAAAGGTGTATTAGCCATAACAGCCAGTGTTTTATATTCCAAGGAAATAGAAATATTATAATCCATCATATGAACACAATGTTCTTGGATACTGGAACATTGTTCTAGTGAACATTGAAACATTTTGAAAAACTGTATTGTTTGAGTAAAGAAAAAGAGAACTAGAATTCCTAGTGTGTTAGCGACTATATTGGTTTATGACTTCCAAAGATGTGGGTTACTCTTGTGTTTTTTTATTACATTTTTGAAGCTTGCTCTATTTTAAATTATTTTCCATAATTTTTCATTTTTGCTTATTTTAATAGGCTGAAGAGTGTAATCTATCATTTTCGGGGAAACAAAGAGTTTGCACGGCTACGAATTGGTGGGCTTGAAGTCCAATATTATTTTATTGTATTTCTAGATGCTTCATTTCTTCGTTGAGTAACTTAATCATATGGTTTTTTGTTAGGTATTGGTAAGCCGCCTGGTCAGATGGATCCTAAGGCATTTTTACTGCAAAAATTTAATGCATCAGCTCGAGAACGAGTAAGATTTAACATATCATTTGTTCATGTTTGTTCGTAACTTTCATTTTCTATTAAGATATTGTTTTCAAAAGGTTTTGATATAATGCCTGATTTGCATAAAAAAAAATTACCAAAAACATAATCAACAGTCTAAATTTAGTACAATTAAGCCATGGGGGTTAAGGATAGAGAATATTTCCCTGAAAATTTTGTATAGCTGGAAAAATATTAAGTCAAAAAAATTATGAATAAAATTAAATGTCCTAGCTGCAGACAATGAACTAGTATAATTATATAAGCAAACATTTTTTTTCGGTTTTCCCTTTGTTCGTGTATATCTTTCTTCTATTATTCCTTGTTCCCAGCGAGCTCACCACAACCGGAGACTATGAAGTAATTACCCAGATATCCCTTGCTGATGCCTTATTTGGCAGCTCATACAAAATTGAGTCTTTTAGACCAGCCTTCTCTTTATTTAATCAAGTTACAAGTACATTGAGCCTAAGATGGCACGTTATGGCCATTTTTGGCCCTAGAAAGGTGGTTCTTAATATAATTTAGTTGTCCTCAACAATAAGTGGTAGGGCATTTAGGCCTCTGATTCAATGTTGTGGGCATGGGGCCCATTTCAATCCCAGTATATATATATATATATAGAGAGAGAGAGAGAGAGAGAGAGAAAATAGCAAAATCATATAAAACTGCCTATATTCATTTTTCTTTTCTTACCCCCCTTCCCCCTTTATATCATGCCTGATGGCTATTCTAGTAGTATATTGCTAGTTTATTGAAATTGACGTGTGTTATATAGACTTCAATCAAATGCTATAAATGTTGGAGGGATTTATAATTCTTGGTTAAGTTTGAAAGGTTATAACAAAAGCTTTTTTTTTTCTTTCGTGCTGTCAAGTATAGAACACTTTATGAGCAACTATAACCAAAAATCTTTCTTGATCAGATCCCCGACTTTGGCAGAAGGGAAAAAAAGCTCTAAAAACATAGGTTCACTCCAAGAATCATGAACACCAGGACAAAAATCTAATAAGAGAAAATTCTATGTATGTGATGAACTTTGAGCATCAATTTAAAGGGAAAGTATTTTATTATAATTTAAACAAGAATCAAGTATATTTAGTTGAAAGACATCTCCAATACATACCAGTGGTGTCAAGGAGCACTTAGGCACCTCACATATCAAAAGAAGTGCCTTGCACCCATTCAGGCGAGGCATTTTTTGTCAGGTGCATGGCATATTTTTCTTGCGAGTTGAAAAAGCACAGAAAGGGTTTTGGAATAAACTCTTCAATGTTTATCAACTTGAATATTATGTTTTAGCTTATTAGACATGATACATGCAATTTTCTTTGTCCTGTATATGTATTATTCATCTTCTAAAGGTTATTGTCGTCATGTGTCTGAGCATTTTTCTTGCACCACATTCCTCAGCTATACAACGGCCCTAGCACCTAAAGTGCAGTTTGCATCCTTGAAAACACAATACTTCTTGTTATTCAAGTGTTCTTTTCCTCATTCATTGAGAAAATGTACTTCTAAAACTGATGAAGGAAAAAAGTATTAGCTTAATGACATTGCATCTCGTTAATTTGCAAGTATGCATTCTTTCTTGACATGTAGAAAGGGGAGAAACTGTTCACATATGCACATAAGGCTTCTAGCATTTTTCTTGCACCACATTCCTCAGCTATACAACGGCCCTAGCACCTAAAGTGCAGTTTGCATCCTTGAAAACACAATACTTCTTGATATTCAAGTGTTATTTTCCTCATTCATTGAGAAAATGTATTTCTAAAACTGATGAAGGAAAAAAGTATTAGCTTAATGACATTGCACCTCGTTAATTTGCAAGTATGCATTCTTTCTTGACATGTAGAAAGGGGAGAAACTGTTCACATATGCACATAAGGCTTCTAACAAATGGATTTACATTAGCCTAGGTTTGTTCTAGTGTTGCTTCTAACGTTGTATTGTAACATATTTTAACATGTTTTAAGTTTGAATTCCTATTCTTTAATTTCCCGTCCGGTTTCTTAAAGATGCTGCTTTCAGGAGTATGGTATTGTTTAAAGTTTAGAACTGAACTTATATAGCTCATATTCGAACTCTAGCATTTAAAGTGATTACATTTTTTTTCTTTTATGTTGTTGAACAAGATTGATACCGCTTTGCAAGAGGGAGTTGAAGGATTGAAACTTCTTTTATCGAAAGGGTTGACAGAAAGTTCAAGACGATTCAACACTGAACAAAAGTACAAGCATATAAGATTACAAACTATGCCGAACTGAAGAATGTTGGAGCCTTCCTTGTATGATCGTTTTAAGGGTGCCCTGGTCGTAGCTTTATGAAGTATTTTAATTTTGGTTTGATTGTAAAGAGAAATGATTACAAAGCTAGCAATGGGATGTAAGTGAAATGTGATTGTAAAAAATCGGACTGAATCCGGTTGGTATCATTTTGACACAGATCATCAGTAGCTTTCTCAACTGACTTAGGAAATCATACTGATTTGGATTACAAAGATTTTTCAAGTTTCAAGATTATGTTTAATTTTCCAATATTTGGTGATCGAGATAGAGGTCTAATTGATTGCTGCATTTTGTGCGGTTATCTCGTTATGCTTCTTGCTAGACTCGTCGATGACTGTTGGGCTAAGATCGTAACTCTAATTTAGGTTATTTTTCCCCCAATTGGGTAAATAGTTTTATTAATTAACCTAATAGGGCATGTTGGAGTTTATTTTGGGATATGCGACATTTGTTATAGTGACCATTGAACTCATCACGTCGATATGACTAGTTTCAATTGAAATTATTTTTTTAATTGATCAATTAATATTTAATTATTTTTTCTTAAAATTCTTCATGTCGAGGTGATGAGTTTTATTTAAATAATATTTTTTTTAAACTTTGAGTGTTGTTTTAAAAAAAAAAAATAGTGGAACTTGTCATGCTGAGATGAGTTTTATTAAGATAATATTTATTTTAAAATAAGTAGTCGTTTATAGTCAATTGTAAACCACCATCATTTTTTTTAAATGATGGAGTTTGTCATGTGGATGTGACGAGTTCCAATGATCATTTTCACAAAATTTTCATTATAATAAGAGGGGGGTGAGTTGATAGAGTGCATATGAGATTGAAATCATACATTTGTTGGAAGAATATTACGGATTTTTTTAATGATATATTTGGGTTTAATTACTCAGACATCGATGATTCGAATTCGAGCTTGACTTCAGATGAGGAGTGGGTAAAGGAGGAGGCTATGAAGTCGATACTTGATCAACATTAAGAGAGAAGGAAACTTGACGAAGAGAACAAAGAGATGAAAATCGAGAAGAAGAAGAAGAAAAAGAAGTATGAAGAGTTGCTGATCCGACGAAACAAACGACTTATAGAGAAAAATAAAAAAAAAATTGTGTAGAAATTAAGAAGATGAATGAGACAAAAAGTTGCTTTGTATGTTGATTTTTATATTGAAAAAATGTTTTACATATATGTATGAATTTGTGTTTAGTTAAAAGTTATTTATAAGTAGTTTGCAATTATGTATGAAAAAATTAAAAATCTAGATGGATATCGATGTTCATAAATTATCCAAGAAAAAGGTACAACAAAACAACATGAGAATAGAATTACAAAAGTTTTATCAACCTGCTCGATATTTAGGAAGATGTGGACAATGCTTCCTGTTGTAGCTTTTACCTCTGTAGTGGCCACAAAACTCTGGCAGACATTGATCTTGTTGTGGATCATCCATATCAGTATGAATTCGACTAGATTCAGGTTGACCCTTCAAGTTTCTTCATAATTGTGGATTTGACAATAACTCTTTAGAAATTGTTGATGGTCAATAAGCATCGTTTGAGAGATACTTAAACTCACAACTATATATGTTGTGCATAGTATGCAGAGTATAACAATCATCAACATACGAGTATGGGTCAACATTAACATGCATACATGCAACAACAACATGAGCGCATAAGTATTTGAAAGCTTGAAATCCTCCACAATCACATCATCTTCTATACATATTACCAGTGTATATGGTAGAATTATCACCCTCATATAGTCGAACAAGTGTTTGGATAACGTAATCAGAATCAAGTCTGACGAAATTTTGGACAAACATTGATGTTGCATGTGTTTGATTTTTGTTCATTGCCTTTTCCAAATCTAGAGCCCAATTTCTACCATCATTGATCATTGCCTCTATTTGTGCACCTTTATCTGCCCAAACTTTACCTAATCAGAAGTAAGTCTCTCTAACAATACTTGCAACTGGAATATGTCTAATCCCTTTAAGCACTAAATTTATACATTCAACAAGATTGGTTATCATATGGACGTAACATCAACCTTGATCATCGTATGCTTATGACCATCTTTCTCAAGGTATTTCAACTACAAAGTCCTAAACATCTTTTCCGTTTTTCTTCAAATTTTCTAGCCTTACACGGAAGTTTGATTGTAGTAAAGCATATCTTGAAAAAAAATTGGATTTCAAAATAATAACAATTGAAGAACATAAAATGAAGAAAAAATCATGAACGAAAAAAAAGAATAAGTCACCCATGTTGATAATATCTTTTTTGATCTTTTTATTCTTAAACCTTGTCATAACATTGGTAGCAATATAACGTATGCAATACGTCGAGTATACATGGGGAGGCGACCGCCTGCTTCCAGTCTATCAATCGTGGCCAACAACCTGGGTGAACGGTTTGATATCATACAAACCCAATCTTGGGTGACAACATGGGAGTGCATGATCGCGTATAAATGTGTGTGCTATGGCACGTAAATCTGTGCAAGTATACACAATCGATACAATTAATATACTAGTGAGTGAGAATCATCTCTATAGGGATTGAGGGAATTCTTTAAAGCAAGCTATAACTAGGAAAATGTGTCATTAACTAATCCTAAGTGTCTAAGTTTAATGATATAAACAAGGGGAAAAAATGTTGTGCCAGATGGTATGAACAAATGGAAAAATATGCTATGGCAAGAAATTTTTGTGAAGTGAAGTGAGCAAGAATTGTGTCGTGGCAAGAAATTTATACGAGAGTAAAGAATAAAAAATTACTAAGGCAAGAAATATTTGATCTCTGAATATAGACTGGAAACCTCACACAAACATACTTCTTATGGAGCACTTGAGTTGGATTTTCTACGATGAGAAATTATTCTATATCTAGGATGATCTAAGTACGCTATGCCTAAGTTGCCCGACAGGATTTACTAGAAGTGTTCCTAGGCTATCTCTAGTAAGGAACCTGATAAAACTATTACCACAACAATACCTCTCAGAGTAAAAGTGACCTTAGCCTATCGAATGATTGATATCCCTTTTAGTCATTTAAAACCTTCTCCTTATCTCTCAGGTAGATTAGGACCTCACCACACTGATTAGCTCCCTTGCTCACGTACATCTAACCTAACTCTCTCGATATTAGTTATATGTTCTTAGAAAAACGATTATCTCTCAATAGCTCTTACAAAGACTAAGAATTTTATGTCATGCCATAAGGCAATCTCTCAAAAGCTCTTACAATGCTACGACGTAAAGTTAAAATAGTGAACAAAACAACATAAAACATAAACATAATTAATCATCCATTAAACACAAAATAAAAACAGCATCCCAACAAATCCAACACCAAGTAGAACAGTTTATGGTGTGGCTAAAATAATCCCAAAAAATTCATCAAGTATAAGTCCTTTAAACATATAAGAAATGAAGAACGAGGAGAAGAAAACTCCCAAAACATAGTTGTTGCCGTGACGTCAGACCACCACCATGACTGCTCCAACATTGTAGCCTCTCTTAAGGACCTTGATGCTACTTCGACGAAGCCCAGCTATGGAGGACACCAAGAAAAGAAGAGAGAAGAATAGTAGAGAAGAAAGTGTTGCACCTGCCTTTCCAAAGCTTTTAGGGTAAGTAAAAATGTTTCCCTTGAATCGTGGGTACCATTTCCTATTTATAGTGGGGAATTTCTAGAGTTTTGTACCCTTTAAATTCCCTAACATGCCCATAAATTCAAGCCCAAAACATGATATCATGGAAGTTAGTAGTGGTCCCAAATTATCAGTAGGGGTAAGGGGTTCACGTGAGGTACATTGGACAGTTGGTCGTACGACATCAGCTACTTTGTCTTGTATTGTGTCCAAACTTCTAAGAAAAACTTGTAGTGGCGAAAAATTGCTCACGATCATCATCATCGATTCAATTGGCCCTCGCTCTAAAATTGTCATGGCAAATAATTCTCTCCTCGGTCATTTCCCGTCACATGCACAATCACAACCAACACACAACCCATCTAATCAGCAACATCAAATTTATCAAGAAAAACTAGTTGCGGCAAAACTTTCCACCACATGCAATGAATTGCCATAAATGAAACTATATGTAGCTAAAATGCTTATGACAATAGCTTTTAGAAAATCAATAACTTAAGTAAAAAGACCCAAAATATAGTCTTTTTACGAAGTTATCACACCCCCAAACTTAAGTTATTGTTTTTCCTCAAGTAATGGATAATGAGCAACAAAAAAATAAAATGCTATGACAAAGTATAAATCAGAACAGTCATGTGGTCTAAATTTTAGCCCTCGGCAAAAAGTTTGGGTTCAATATACTAGACTAATTGAGAAGTCAAGTACCTTTCCCTAGGAAAAGATATTTTGTAAGTGTGTTTGTGTGTGTGATTGTATCTAGTCTATGCTTGACAAAAATTAGAAAGTCCCTAAGTAAGTTCTTTTGTTTTGCCAAGACATAAAAATTATTCATTAATCACAAAATTTACTCCTATTTATTCAACACTTAAACTTTTCAATTTTTCAATTTTTTACACTACACAAGGGGGTTAGCCTATTACAACTACCATCCCACACTCTAGATTAATGAGAGCATACCTTTCATCCCCGAGCTAGTCAGGTAGAGTCATCCCGTGACTACTTTCATTCACTCATATGCTTAGGTTACCATTTATTCAAGGGGTTTCAGACAATACCGTCACACATAACAGTGTCCCTCTACATCTATGTTGAGGAATTTATTTTCAATTCAACACAATTCACAATACTAAGGAGTTTAACTTTGTCTTTTCATGCATTGATATAACAGTTAAGTTCATTACCAGAATTTTATGCCACGACACGTAGTTCTTTCATAATTTTTTAAGTTCATCAAGCATAGAAAAACATATAATCGTGTTCAAAGAGTCACAAAGAATTAAGTCCTAGGGTTGGTTCTATCCTCCTCAACAATCATATACAATGATTTCTAGCCATGGTAAAAAAAATTATCACCATCATGCATTATCAAGTTATTCCAAGTA